TGGTGGGGGTACTTATTAGGGTGCAAGCTTTCCCCCTTTATGTTATTCTGACGCGCTCGAGTAAATCCCAAAATCCCCGCTTGGCCTCCCCTACTATAGACCTGTTTTACGATTCTATTGTGTTTTCGGGCGTGCTCGGGTCCAGGTATAACGGAAGTATCACACGACCGTTATTCTTTGCCAGAAATTGGACGCGTTTCGTCAGTAGCTTGCCGTTCGTGCAACTGTGCGTTACAGTGAGTTTTCGTCTGTGAATAAATATTCTGAGGAAAATGGATAACAGATATAAAGGTTCTCGGGAAGCTCATCGATCCGGATCTTTTCGCAAAGATCGAAGCAAGAAGAAAATACCGCCCAAAAATCGACATACTGCCGAAAAAGTAGAACTTTCCGACGAGAATATTAGTTCCAGTGCCAAAAAATTGAAGATCGTGAGACATTCGCACCAGAAGATCCAAACATCGGGTATCGAATTTTAAATTTTCTGATAGTGTTTTCTGCCTTATCGGAATGTGCAAAATGCAAAAAGTGTGATAGTGATGTTCGATTCTCAATAGAAAGCACTCGAGGGCTCGGTTTTAAAATTGTAGTTTCGTGTTCATCGTACAAACCGACTTTCATTCCTTCGTGCCCGTACATCAAGACAGCTTACGAAATAAATACACGATTCTTTTTTGTTATGCGTTTATTGGGGATTGGTTTGCGTGGAGCTATAGACGAAACTCGCATAGCGAAAGCTGAGCTGCAAGCGCAAGAACAGACGAAAGAAGGTCAAATACGGCGCCGACAACAAAATTTAGAAGACATGAACATTCCGTCGACCGTAGAAGACTTACACTATGGGCCTGGTATCGATGATTCCATGTAAGTTGACAAATTTCATGATTTATTTATTCCCAAATTTTCAAACGCGTTTTTTCTCGAAACCACGTTTTTCAAATCGGTACCCAAAATTTCTCGAAAACCAATGATTGCCTTGAATTTTTTTGTGGTTATTCTATACATCATTATCTAGTACTTGTCATAGGATTTTTTTTTTCGTTGCTTAGTTTTTGTTTTATAGGCAAATAATAACTAATTTTTGGTCGAAAAATCGCTATGTTATGTTCAAACGTCCGCCATTTTGTCATAAATCGATATTTTCAAAATCGGCTATGACAAGTACTAGATTATAGTATCTAATTTAATAATCTTTTTGGTTTTTTGTTTCAGATGATTTTTGAAGAAACGCTAGTGGGTACCGTTTATCCGGATTTTTTTACGGCGTTCCGAAGATTATACAACAACCTCGTCAATTTTTGATTATTTTTAATAAAAAAAATTGAACATATTCCTGAATGTGTATACTTTTAGATACAAAAACTCCCAATCCGAAATTTCAAATAGTTTTCCTTGAAAAAATTCACAAAAATGACCTTTTTTCCAGCTCCTAGGTGTATATCTCCCCTTAAACAGTTTTGGTAAACGTCAAGATTGTCACTACAGGTTTCGTGCAACCACTTAGAGCACCTGACATACTGAATCCCGTCTGTAAGTCCTTTTTTATCATAATAATAACCTCCATATATTGCTCGTGTCACTTGCGAAAATCGTACCGGTACAATATAAAGACTAGCGACAAGTACGATTTACCGAACTCCCTCTATTTTTACAAATTTACCAATAACAAC